TAAAATTCAAAAAAAAATTTATGTGCACAAATGTATTTTGTGCATCTTTTTTTAAAAATTTTACATGCACACTTAATGGATTTTTAAAAAATTCAAAAAAATCTAAAAAAATTTCATACACATGTGCATCTTGTGCATGCCAATTTTAAACCCTGGATACAAGACATCATGTAATTAAGGTGTTAGATCTTCCATAGCGATCTAATAAAGTATATATAATAAATTGATTCTCCTCTAATATTTTTTTTCTATAATTATTTATTCAATATCACGTTGTGCGACAATATATATATTTTTATATAATTAAATTTTTTTTTATTTTAGTTAAAAAAACTTCTTCATTATGCAGAAAAAACTGCAAAAAAAAATCAACAAAAAAAAGAAGAATGTTATTGTTGGCGAAATAAGATTTATGTTGATTCAAATTGTGTACCTTCAGAAGACTGTTCAGATTGGTGTAAGTCAATTATTTATAATAGTCACATTGATAATAATAATGATAGTAAAAGTAATGATGATAACAGAAGCAATAATGGCGAAGACAGCTTTAGTGATAAAGATACTGATAAAAATAGTCAACAAAATACTGAAGACAATAGTAATGATAGTGATGTTGAAGATAGCGATGATGACAAGGATAGTGGGAGTAGCGATAATGAAGAAACTAGTAGTGATGAAGAGAATAGTGATAGTGACGATGAATAATCTTGAAGCTAAGTACCATAAGATTAAACATATATGGTAAGTTATACTAAATACTAAAATTAATGTACGTATGGTGCAAACGGCCTAGTCACATCAAATAATTTGGATTGCAAAAAAAATATTATTTCACATATACATTTATAAAAAAAAATACATTACAAAATTGATTTTAATAAGAATTATAATTTAATGTATTTTTTTTATTAAATTTATTAATAATTTAATTAACAGTAAAAAAATTTTAGAAGGCAATTTTAAATATAACTTAATAAGATTTGATCCAATTTTCAGCGTTAAAAAAATCTTTTTTGATTGGTTAAATTTTTACAACCAATCAAAATCATGACTACAAATATATTCCCATGCTTAGTATTCCCTACCTATTTATAAATATCTTTGATTTTCTTAAAATTTCTTAATAAAATTTTGAGAAAATAGCCTCTGGAACTATAATTCTTTAAATTTTATCTATTTATAAATATCTACGATTTTCTTAAAATTTTATTAAGTAAATCGATTTTGTATATTAATTAATAAATATTTTTCTAATCAAAATAACCCTAGTTTCATAGAACCAAATTAGCAATTATCTTAATAAAATTTTGAGAAAATAGTCTCCAGAACTATAACTCTTCAAATTTTTAACTATTTATAAATAATTTCAAATCAAATCAAATATTTGATCTCAATTTGAATTTGATTTAATTTGAAAATCGATATTTGAATTTGATTTGAAATCAAATATTTGAATCAAATCAAATAAATCAAATCAAATGTGGAACCCTAACCAAGAGGTTACTAGAACACTTTAAGAAGAGTTAACCCAGTGATTATCACGAGTTATCATCCTTGATGTAATCACATGAAAGTTGTTATTGGTCAAAAATATAAACAAAATATCAGGTGATATCAATTACGCACACTGCATAATCATAAGTGTCTCAAATCTAAAATCGAAAAATAATAACACTTTACCATATACTTCAAAATAGTAAATTAGTTAGCTTATTAACATTCTAATGTTAATGCCCTAACCCTAAACTTTTATCTTTACACTATTTGTGTTGGATACATCTATGTATCCACCATCTAAAATGGAAATGATTGTTGTTGTTTATATTTTTTGTTATTTATATTGTTTTTTAAAAAAATACCATTAATTAGGGTTAGTGTTAAATATAAGAATAAGGTTGTAAAAAAGAATCTACTAAAATTTCACAAGGAATTTTTTTTGTTAAAGCGCAGAAAATAATTTCATAAGCGAAATTTCAAGATAAAAGTGATTTTTTAAAAAATACGTAATTTTAACATTACACACTGATTGTTCATGTAAGTTCATGTAAATTCGATGTGACGGACACTGATTGGATAAAAAGCATGTTTTTCAAATCAGGCGGTGGGAACAAACGTCATAAAACCTGTGATCATTTGACATTTGTTTACATTTTTTGGCCAATCAAAATTACTATGCGATGATATCGGGGGTGATAATTCATTATAATCACTGGGTTAGGGATGTTGTCGTGGGCTAAACGGACAAACCCACACACACAAAAATGAGCATCGATCAAGGCTACTCAACAGGTTAGAGGCAGAATCGACTTGGCACGGTCTAAGGCGATTGTTGAGTATTTTGCAACTAGGGTGATTTGGTACACTTAAAGAACGTTATATTTTTATTGATACAAAGGGCTTTATTTATTTATTATATCGGGGGGGGGTAATTGCACACGGTCAATAATAATGCGGTAATTATCATGCTTTCACAAGAATGATTCGACCTCTTATTTATAACAAAACTACAGGTCAAGAAAAGAACACGTGCGAAGATTCTAATTAATTCCCATCTTCTTTTTTCATTATACCGCCATTGAGCTTTAGCCAAACAACCATTCTAATCTAATGCCCTACTCCTTACACACAGCCATTCTCATTGAAACGTTCGACGGAATGGAAAAAGAAGGCAAGTCAAATGAAGGCTTCTACGTCGTCATAGTTCTTTACCCGTCAATTTCATTAATTCATTCATTGACTCTTCCATCGATTCATATGCTTTTTCTCTTTCACGGCCACACCCTACCCTAAAAGGTAATATTACCTTGACAGATGTCATACCGAATCGGGTAAGTGTCTTTTTCTTCAATGGGATCGTTGGTGGGGGCTTGGCTTTCATAAGATCTTCGTTAATGCTTTCATTCAGAGGGCCTGGTTTGGAGCAGGTTTGCTTGCATGCGATCGTCGTTCGATAATCGGGTCCCGGGGTATTGCAGTACAACGGCTCTTGCGTAACGATCCGTAGGTCAATCGTGCATCGTTTCGCGGTCTTGAGGCCACGTTTTGCCCATGACAATGTTAATCGGTCCCGCAGTAATTATTAGCTGACTTTGAACAAGATTTGTAGAAAATTGATATTTTTAACTAGTATTCGTTCAATAAGTAAAGTTATAGAAAAGTTATTTCTCTATAACAGTCTCTAATAAAAGTTTATTGGTTTTTTGAATTAATTTCTGAGTAATTTAGATGGGACCGATTAGGGACCGAACAGTGTGGAGAAAATTTTGTTGATCGGTCCCTAATCGGTCCCATCTAGATTACTCAGAATCTAATGCAAAAATTGATAAACTTTTATTATAGAGAAATAAATTTTCTATAACTTTACTTATTAAACGAATACTAGTTAAAAATATCAATTTTTTTATAAATCTTGCTCAAAGTCGGCTAACAATTACTGCGGGACCGATTAACATCCCTACGCTGGGTTAACTATTCTTAAATCTTCCCTGAATATTAAAATGCGAAACAGCTAAATTTCATAAAAAATGTAGGTTTAACTGGATTAATTCGTATTAAGTTAAAATTTATAAACGAGTATGGTAATATTGATTGGAATAGAAGACTGATAGAATTAGTAGAGATTTGCCACCCAAAAAATTCGATCGTATGATACTGTTACAACGGTTTGTAGGTTTAACTCTGGATTGAATCCCTTAGCATCTTATTTAATCGAATGAAACATGATTATTATGATTGATGAAAATTAACGAGAAATATACCGTATTATAATGTTAATATATTATATCATCGTAAGCTCTTAGGATACATTGCTTTATTAACTGAACTGTTGAAACGTATTTTAAATACTAATCCTTTGGAAAGCAACGTCAGTCTCACATTGCCTCACACAAACGAACCATAACAATATATATTTACACAATCGCATCGTTAAATTGCAACAACACTCGACATACAACTTTAAACAAACGTACAAATCAGCAAACAATGAACTGATATGTACTGTATAGACTAGAGTTTGCAATTGGGAATATAAGATTACTTATGTTCAAATCAGACTAAACCAATTGGATATATAAGCATTGCCGTCCTTAGTATAGTCCGTAATGCATTTCAGAACGGATTAAGTTTAGTATAGCCAACACTTTCCATTTGACACCAAAAATTTATTACATAATTTATATAGCGATAGTAAATGGTTATTTGCTGCACACTATGATTGATCACGCCCCAGCACCATGTCAGCTATATTAGGTTTAATCCTTCTTATTTTGTATAATTCATAAACCATGCATCCATCAAAGATAAACAATAGGTATAGTTTGGTAGCAGATCAGCGCAGCAACACTGCAAACTATCATAAATTTAGGCATACGTACGAAGCATGCATATGAATAGTTAATTATTATTTATCGATTGATCTGATGATACCTCGTTCTATTCATATAACACTTATCTAATTCACAAATTCTAATACATTTTGCAAACAATGGCTGAATTATCATGAAATTTTATCGTGTAAAATTGTCAAATGTTACTATTATACTTTGAAATCATGCTAAGTTAAACCTAAAAAGAATACAACACAATACATCGTATACTACTAAATAAATATATGACTATGATTAATGATGCTGGTAACTATTTTGAGATTTTGGCTGAGCTGTTTTTTTACCTTACATGTTCTATACCCCTGAGAAATGCATAATATTCAATTTTTAGTAATTTAAGTTTTAAAGAATTTTATTAAAAATATATAGAATAGAATCAGTTAAATTAATAAACTAATATGCAAACCAAAATTATGCGTAGTTTATTATAACTTAGTGATGGGACATAATGTTTAGTTAATAATAAAATCATTAATACTTAGTTATCAATATTATAAATACATAGTTTTTAATCGTTAAAAATTCGACGATTGTTACGTACTGTACGTACGTACGTAGTGCATATTAATACGTAATTGATAATAATAATCATTAGTTATTATGTCGTACGTACGTACCTCGACACCAGCCTGGAATTGCAATTTTAGACACTTCGATTGAAATTAGCTTTTAAATTAATTCCTCATTTTAGACAGGTGTAACATCAGGGAGGTATTAACTTAAAGCACGACATAATCATACATTTTAGGAGATGACTAAAGCCATTTACCTACGTGATTTTTCGAAGTTTTAATTAAATTCATGTAAATTGCTTTCCCGGCATTTTTTGTTAGTGCCCCAAGACAGGTTTAGACTGCCGTTTTTCCTATTTTTGCGGTTTCCGCAATTCCGGTTGGTTGATTTACACGAAAGCGTCACGTGGATGTATGGCTTTAGACCCCGACCCGACCTCATAGAAGGACTTTCGTCTGATTGACTGGTGTAAATCAATTGCCCGGGTAACTAATTTATACAGTTTAAAGTACTTTTTCGAATTGCAACGTTTCACAATTTTACTTATGAAAAAGCTTTTTTTTTTTCGTAATTAAGTTTAGAAGAGTGTTGCCCTTCGCTATACAAAATAATCACAAAATAATCAGAAAAATAGTGGACTTTACTTAGAAGCGAAGTTACTATGTATATTATTACCTTTTGCAATTAATAAAACGGAAAAAAGGTAAACCAAGAACGCATTGTCAAAGGCTAAACTAACAAAACTCTGCCAAAGTTATTATTAACTTTAAGTAAACCTTCCGCCTCACTTCACTTAGAATAAAA